CCCCCCAAAAAAACCCCCCCCCCCCGTTAAGTGAAACCACGCCCTCCACCCTTGTGCAGCAACCAGAAGAAGAGGACAGGACTGTAATTGAAGAAATGTAGATTGTTTTACAGGAAAAAAATAAGACATCCCCTGAAAGGAAGCCTGGATGCGTTTTTTGGAGCAAATATTAATATAAGGCCCTGTCTTATTTTTGGGGAAACAGGGCACAACCCCCTCCTTGCCTGAGGGTGGCATGGCAGCTAACAAGCCCCCGAGGAGTGGATGGCTGTCAAAGCCCCGAAAGAGACTCCTGGGCAAGCCCTCAGCCCCGCAGCTGAGATCTCTGCACGTCCCCTTCACTTCCCGCACCCCAGAGGTGTGCTCTCTTTCGCAGCTGCCAAGATGCCTCTCTCCTCCCTGTTTCTGGGCTTCTGGAGGGAGGGAGGTCAAACACACCGGCTGGATATCCTCTCCCCTTGCTGTGGCCTCCATTCCACGCAGCCTCCCTTCCCCGAGTGTAACCCAGATCCGCAGGTGGAACCCCTCCAGAGCACGAAGGCATCGCCTCAGCCTGGCGAAAGCCTTGTGCGGATGCCCGTGGAGATGCCCAGAGGACGACAAGGGTCACACTTCCCCTGGGAGGTCCTGCTTCCCTCCTTGCATGCGCACGTGCACGGCGCTGGTTGCAGGAGCGGTTTGGCCAAAGACGAGGCCACACACCAGTTCAGAGGCCTCCCTTCTCTTCACCTAAGCTTTGGGGTGCCCTTTTGGCCTCTTAGAAGAGTTTCTTTGCTGTCCACGAAGGTGAAATCCTGTCTTGCTCTGGTTTCAGGAGGATGACTGTGTACGCGAGGCTGCTTTCCACCTGTTTGTAGTCTTGGCCACCTGGGCAAAATGGGAGTGCCTGGATTTTTTTGCGGAGCAAGTGAAGAAAAATCTGGTGCCCCTGCTCTGTCCGACTCTTCGTGACCCCATGGACCAGAGCACGCCAGGCCCTCCTATCTTCCACCGCCTCCCGGAGTTGTGTCAAATTCATGTTGGTTGCTTCGATGACACTGTCCAACCATCTCATCCTCGGTCGTCCCCTTCTCCTCTTGCCTTCACACTTTCCCAACATCAAAGTCTTTTCCAAGGAGTCTTCTCTTCTCATGAGATGGCCAAAGTACTGGAGCCTCAGCTTCAGGATCTGTCCTTCCAATGAGCACTCGGGGTTGATTTCCTTTAGAATTGATAGGTTTGTTCTCTTTGCAGTCCAGGGAACTCTCAAGAGTCTCCTCCAGCACCACAATTCAAAGGCATCAATTCTTCGGCGGTCTGCTTTCTTTATGGTCCAGCTCTCACTTCCATACAACACTACAAGAAAAACCATAGCTTTGACTGTGCGGACCTTTGTTGGCAAGGTGATGTCTCTGCTTTTTAAGATGCTGTCAAGGTTTGTCATTGCTTTCCTCCCAAGAAGCAGGCGTCTTTTAATTTTGGGGCTGCTGTCTCCATCTGCAGTGATCATGGAGCCCGAGAAAGTAAAATCTGTCACTGCCTCCATATCTTTCCCTTCTATTTCCCAGGAGGTGATGGGACCAGTGGCCATGATCTTAGTTTTTTTGATGTTGAGTTTCAGACCGTTTTTTGCACTTTTGCACAGAAGTTTGATGTCATGCTCAATGTATTTTCTATTTTTAATACAAGAGTCTTTTTGATCTAACCCCCCAGCCCATTTAGAATATATTATACATGGCCCAGAGAAACCTGGTTAGTAGACATCTTAAAAGGGCCAGCCTTCATCCAGAAAGACCCGGAGGACTTTCCCTAAGCAATGGTCCTGGAATCCCAAGAGGCCCGATTAGCGCTTGGCGGGGCCTCCATTCTCCCCTCTGCTCAACGGCAGGACGTTTGGCTAGCCTTTCTTCATGGCTTGGTTCTGCCCCTTCCATAGGGGCTGATGTCTCCTGGTGATGCCATGATTGAGCTAAGGGACCTAGAGAAGCCCACGGTTTGTGAATTGTGGCACAAACTGACCCCAGCGTGTTTGGGACTCGCTAGTATGGCTAGTGGGGGGGGGAGGGTCTGGGAGGTGTTATCCAAATAAGGAAGGGATTTATTTTGCATCAACTCCTCGTTTAGAGAAGCTTTTCCAGATTGCAATAGATCTGATCTGGATCACCCAGACTTCTGTTCTACTGTAATCAGAGTGCCACTTTTGAGGGACCAAATCTCACCAGCTTTTGGCCAGGATACCTGGAAGCTCACCTTTTCTGGCTGGGAGACGAAATCTTTGAGGCAAGCCCTTTTGCATGTCCCACTCGGTTGTAAGGCTTGGCTGGTGGGCACATGAGAAAGGGCTTCTCCTGTACCAGCGCCTCCATAGTGGAACTCCCGCCCGGGAAGTCAGGCTTCCGCTCACCTGGTCAGGCTTCCAGGGGTCAGCCTGGGTGGTCTGGAGTGAACGGTCCTTGCCTTTAAAAGACTGGCTTTCAAATGGACTTTCGACTTCTTTTTGAGGAATCTTGTTCAATCCTCTGTTTAAATCATGTTTTAAATCACATTAATCAGCTGCCTGGAAGCACTTAAGAATCTTCAGGTGAAAAACAGGGATGAAGAAAGAGTTGAAAGAAAGAAATCTATTTAAATACAGAATTTAGACTTTAATTATCTACTTTGGCCATCGTGAGGTTCAAATGTGCTCAGGATGCAGTTTTCAGCTGAAAACAAGCAAATCTAAAAACCCCACTCCAAATCAATGTGTATATCAAAGTATATGGTTTGGAGGAAGATGGCTTTAAAAGGACTTTGTAAAATGTGACTTTCCGTGATCATTGGCAAGATAAAGATTATTGGCACTCGAGCTTACCTAATTCAGAAGAGAACTTGTGACTCACCAGCTGGCATTCTGTATACTTCTTGTTTGTATTACGCCTGCATTATCGATGTATGCGTACCTTTGCAATTTGAAAGGTTTTTTTCCCTTTCTTTCTTTCCTTTTTGATTTTAGGCATGCAGAGGTGCTTTTTCCCTTGCTCTGGACTTTGTGGCAGGAAAACGACTTCAGCAGCTTTACAAGAGGAGAGAGATCAGCTCCACAAAAATTATTTTAGACCTATGCCAGCAGCTGGTGAGCCAAAACAAGAGAGAGCCATTTGGACTGGGAGAGAGAGGAAGGGGGAGGGATAGACCGTTGAATTAACCCACCTACGTATAGTGTCTTCACAACAGAATACTTACTTATTGATTTAAAATATTTTAGGCCACATTTTCCCCAAAAGATCCAAGGTGGCTTATACTATTAAAAGAAACAAAGTTAAGATCTAAATAATAAACTATTACAATATTTAAAAAGCATTGAATGAGTATCATATTATGACTCATAAGAAGAACTATATTAAAAGCACAAGTAAAAAAAACAGGATAGAATAATCCCTCTGTCAACCAGTTAGTTGCAGCTCTGCTGAGACCTTCTGCGTACAAAATAGAAAGGTCTGCCTTTGAGACTCTCTGTAGGCAAAGCAGACGATGTTTGTCCTAAGCTAGACACCCAGCAACCCACGAAAATAGTCTTGGCTTCTAAGCAGTGGAGCCCAGAAAATAGCATTTCACAAGCTCTGCTTCTCCTGGGTAAGACCGGGGCTTCCTATTGCACAGTGTAATCTGTACAGTACTTGTTTGCTTGCTTGCTTGCTTGCTTACTTGCCTGCTCATTTGTTTGTTCATTTGCTCATTTGTTCATTAAAACCTTGCACTTCTCCTCAAGGGGAACCAAAGCTGCTAAGGTTCCTTATTTGGGATCTGAAGCAGAGATTTGATTCCAAAGCTATTGCTTGACACCCTTCTTTGAGCTGTTGCTAGGATCTGAATTCAGCTCCTTCCGCCCTTCCAGAACAAGATGCTGTGCTCCATAGTCAGCCACAGAAACACCCCCCCAAGTGTGGAGCAGTGAAAAGATTGGTGGACTAGGACTCAGGAGTCCTGAGTTCAAATCCCCACTCCGCCACGAAAGCTCCCTGGGGGTTTGGAGCTGGTCAAGCCACTCCTTAAATAGCTCACTTCCCTTGAAAGCCCTATTAAGGTCCCTAGAAATTGGTTCCGACTTGATGACAGATCACAACGACAGCAAGAGGGACAGCCCGAGGCCTTGGCAATCAGCTGGGCCTCAGAAAGGTCAATGGCTGTGCCAGGTTTATTCTGTCACCCAAGCAAGCAACCCAGGCCAAATATTGAAATCCAGTCCACCTTTGGGTAAGCTTTCCATAACTGGACTGTAGCTAATGGGGACTAGTTGACAAGGTGCCGGGGCAAGTTTCGGTCACATGCCTGGCCAGGACACAAACCCTAGCAGGAACACTGGCCCTTTTCATGAGCTGGGAAACGGAATCATTGATTTTATTTACATGGACAGTAATAAAGAAAAAACACCAAAAAATGAAACAAAAAAATATATATAATCCAACACAGCCTTGTGAACTATCTGCCCAAGGCTGGGATAAACCATCATCCTCATGTTATTTTAAACATGGATTTTGGCAGCCCAACACACTCAAATAAAGCCCCAAATGGAGCGTGGGCCTCCTGAGAAAAACTGCAACCTATTTCTCAAGCGGCCAGGACGAGGTCCGGATGAAAGCTGTGAAATTTCAGGTAATCTAATCATCAGCTTAGATCTGGGGAACTGGAAGGGACCCCATGGATCCTCAAGTCCAGTCTTGGTCAAGGCGGCCCAGTGGGGGATCGAACTCCCAGCAAGAAAACTAAACCAGCCTGTCCTTTCTGTTCAAATCCTCCTTTGAACCAGGACTTGGGAAAGGATGGGGCAGCCTGACCCTTTCTTGCCTCCGTTTCCTTGTTTTAGCGGCGCTTTTGCAGAGTATCCCGGTGACTGAGATAGAAGACAAGACCCTGCATCTTCTTCTGACTGGTAAAGAATGTCAACGGTGGTGGTGGTGGTGGTCAGGACCTGGTTGGTCACCTGCACTCTCTCCTGGCTGCAAGACCATGCGGGTGGGTGTAAGAAAGAGAAAGAGGGCGAAGAGGACCCATGGTTGTCATGGAGGTCATGAAGTCTTGACCCAGCCCGCACAAAGTTGCTTCAGTTCCCTAGCAGAGGAAGGGTTAGCAGAGGGGGGGGGAGAAGCTACCTTCTCCACAGGTGGATGTGTTCCTGGTCAGAAGATGCCTGAGATTCCGCCGGGTGTACTGAGCCCTTCCGAGCCTCCTTTGCCTCTTCCAAATCCCAGAACGCTCAGAGCCAGCATGGCCATCCCATCCGGACAAAGGTAGCCCAAGGGAGAACGCTGGCAAGCTCTAGTCCTGCAGCATCGATGGAATGAGCCCTTTTGAAGGCCCCCAGTTCACATGTAAGAAAGTCGAAGTTGGTGCTTTCATTCATTTAATTTGATTTAATCAGGGAAGTGGCTATGTACGAATGTGGACAATCAATTCACGCCTTCTGTCCACAGCTTGGAAAAATTACCTCTTTAGTAATTATCTTCCATAATCACCTCTGCTGGTTGGGATATTCTTGGACCTACAGATAGCCTTGGGGAAGTAGCTTTTTAAAATATTTATTGTAATATTGTAAAGAGAAACAGAATATAGCCTGATTCAGAATGGTTTTCCAGCGGTTGTTTGTCTTTTGGAGGGGGGCATTTAACAGCACAGTGACTGTTGATGGTGGGCAAATTTTGGAGGAACACCTTCTTGCATAGGGGTCTATGCAGGCCTCATACACAGAGCACCTTCCTATGGGAGGCTGGGGTGCACTAAGAGTAACTCTTTCTTCTTTCTTAAGGGTTTCCTTAATGACCCAGTCATTAGGGAGAGGCTGGTGATTCCTAGGCACTTCATGGCTCTGGACTCCTTCCTTGCCATTGTTTTCAGGTGGTGGGCTTCAAAACGGTTTCTCTGACATGAAGGTGAGTGACCTGAGTCTTCAATTCAGAGAGATGACCTTTTTCCACACATCCTGGCCAAATCCAGTGGCTGGTCAGAACTAGAACGGAGCCGTTCAGTCAGTGGGATTGGTGTGCGTTGACCTGGCTGATTCAGTGGTTGACTCAGAAGCGGCCCTCAAGGGAGGACTAGTAATGGCATCTGGACCGGAAGAGGTTCCTCCTTTCCTTCTCCTGAGCTGATGCCTCTTTTTGATTCTCTCTGCCCATCTAGGCAACACCACGATGCCAAGCAATGAAGAACAGAGGATTTCCGAAGAACAGAATGACCCCCAGCAGGATTTTAGGAGCGACCCATATCTGCCACCTGTACAATACAGGACTGTCCCTTGCATTTTTTCCATCACCTAGAGGTGGGAGATGCTTGCTCATCAAATCACAGCCTCGAGGATGAACCAACCCACCCTGTCAACTAAGACTAGAAAGTTATGAATTTTTATTTACATTTGCGAGAAAGCTTTGCCCCTTTCCTAGTGATGCCTCATGTCAATACTGTATGCTATTCATGGAGACTGCATTAAATTTCTCTGCATTTTAAAATGGCTGTACTTTGGAGTCTTCTGTATTAAATTCTGACCTCTTCCTGGCCACTCCTGAAATAGGTTGCAGTTTTTCTCAGGAGGCCCACGCTCTGTTTGGGGCTTTCTTTGACCTAAAGATTCCGGTAAAAATCACTTCAGTGTGTTGGGTTGCCAAAATCCATGTTTAAAATAACATGAGGATCACTGTGGTGGTTTATCCCAGTCTTGGGCAGATAGCTCACAAGGCTGTGTTGCATTTTTACTCTTTTTAAAGATTCACTTTTTGGGTTTTTTTTTCTTTATTACTGTACATGTACATACATACATACTTTTATTGTTACAGCATCAAGCCATATACATAAAACAACATTAAATGCAGAGCTTCAAGTACTGACATATACTGCAAAAAGCCAAAATAAATAAGCGAAAAGCAATAAAATTACAAATATAACAATGTAAGACCAATGTCTAAGTTTGGCTATCTATTCTGGCTACTATGGCATGCCGCCCAAAATTTCGCTACCAGTTCTGTAGTAATCCAATTTTGATCAATTAACAATTGGTTACAGTAGCACATGTAAATAAAATCAATGATTCCATTTCCCAGCTTATGAAAAGGGCCGGTGTTCCTGCTAGGATCTGTGTCCTGACCAGGCATGTGACCGAAACCTGCCCCAGCAGAGCCGGAAAGGGGGGGGCAGCGCTCAGCACCCCACAGAATGAGATTGGGCGCCTTCAGGTGGGAAATTTCAGGTCTCCTGGGTGAAGCCTGCACAGGGGGAGAGGGGCAGTTGGGGAAGGAGCCGTGCGAGGGCATGGATCTGTGCGCAGAGGAGGAGGAGGCCCAAAAAAGAGAGGGCAGCCGGCCTCATGGAAGAGGGCACTGCTTGGCATGAAATTGCCTTGGCTGGTTTCCAGGCAGAGGGGCAAGGCTAGAGATGGTTTTCATAACCGGAGGGGCAGGAAGAGGGGGTCTCTCCCTCATGGAGAAGCTGGGGTCTAGGGGACTGGTGCCCATCCTGCTGAGCCTGCAGTTGGAGTTCAGCCAGCTCAGGAGGGGCCCCATCCCGGACCCCAGTTGAGCGCGTTCCTGGTGTCTCTGAAGTCCAGGTTCACCACGAGCATCTTGGAATCCCCACACCTGCCACCAAAGAGCAGCTGGCAAGGGTGGCTGGGGACCCCAGCTGATTGTGGGGCTGCTCCTTGTGCCAAGGGGCACCGGGCCACTAACCCCCTGCCTTGCTCCAGAGAGCGCCATGAAGGGACCAAGCCCCAACGGGGCTCAGGCATTACCCAGGCTTTAAAGCCCCCTGCCCCCCCCCGGAGAAGACCTTTTCCTCCGCTGTTCTTCCTCGCTCCCCGTGAGATTGGTTTCCCTGCCAGGACAGAGCAGTGGGGCCCTTGCACCCTTACATGTTTCTACCAGCTACCAGTTCACAGATCTTTGAGACAAACCAAGACGCTTATGAAAATCTTGAAGCTACTTGAACTGAAGTTTATTTGAAATACTTTACAAAAGAGTCCACCAAATACCTACAACCGGACACTAATGAAAGCTAATTATGGGGGTGGGGGGAAGCTTTGGGGGAGCCAATTTTGAGCCATAATGCACCTCAGACTGGGAACTCAACAAGACCAATGTAGAATGCCAGGTTTTTAACTCTGAAGGTTTCAAAAAACTTTCAGGCGAGATAAACAAACTTCTGGGATTTTTTTAGCCAACTGGTTTTTTAGTACAGTATTCATTTTTATTGTGAACCAGTTTGAGATTTATTTATGTATTTTTTAAAAAATAAGAAGTGCTTTGAACAGGCTCTAAAAAGACATCCATCCACCTAACTAAGCCCGTTCTCTAAAAATTGGTAAAAACTGAACCTGTATAACTGGCAGGGAGGTCAGAAAACCACGTAGCAGGACACTTACCTGCTGGCTAAAGAGAGGCAAATGCGATGGAATGATGCAGAACAGGGTGTGATTGCAAGCTTTTGAGATCTGAGAACTTCGTGAAACCCCAAAGCTAGCCAATTCATGGACTGATCTAAGGTACCCACTCCCGGAAAGACAGAAAGCTTCATCTGGGGATTTGTAAATGCGAGTAGATAAATGTGGACCACCTTGGTGGGAATCACGGCGTTCTGTGTCTAGTTGCGCTGGCCACATGACTATGGAAACGGTCTTCGGACCATCGCTGGCTCTATGGCGTGGAGACGGGGATGACGCACCGCACACTAGAGTTGGACACGACGGGACTAAATGTCAAGCGGAACCTTTACCTTCCATGGGTTTGGGTTCTGTCTGCTTTTGAAAATCTCCAGCGGTGCAGCAGTCACTGCTGGTGCGAGAGAAAAACACAACCACTTGCCTTTGGACCACGTGAAGGTTGGTTGTGATTCCGGGATGCCGGATGGCTGGATTTCCTTCTCTTTTCTGGCTCTGCTGAGCCCAGGGCTCCCCTTCAAAAGTTGCCAGAATCAGCGTCAGGATGAGGACGTGTTCTCCGAGGCTGCTGACTCTGGTCTTTCCCTTCAGGAGAGACCTTTTTCTCAGCCCCACCACCTTCACAGGTGTGTTTGGTGCGGACACAAAGGAGAGTGCCTTGCCTGTGGCTGCTCCGAGACTTTGGAACTCCCTGCCCCTGGAGCTCCATGACTGGGCTTATCTTTGCTGTCCTTTTGCAAGCAGGCAAAGACTTTTCTCTTCAGGTGAGCTTTCCCTGAGTGACTGGCTGCCTTAGAGGAGGTTTTATATGAAGGGTTATGCCTTACTGCTTTGAATGTCTCTTTGGTGTTTCTTTTGCTTTTTATTATTATATTTGCTTGATCTTTTTTAGTATTTGTATACTTGCTGTTGTTGGATTTAATATGGGCTTTTAATAATGTAAGCCAACTTGGGTTGTTCTTAAGGAGAAAGGTGGGGTAAAAACATTTTAAATTATTTGTCATTGTTATCATCTATTTATTTATTTATTTATTTATTTATTCATTCATTCATTCATTCATTCATTCATTCATTCATTCATTCATTCATTCATTCATTCATTCATTCATTCATTCATTCATTCATTCATTCATTCATTCATTCATTCATTCATTCATTCATTCATTCATTCATTCATTCATTCATTCATTCATTCATTCATTCATTCATTCATTCATTCATTCATTCATTCATTCATTCATTCATTCATTCATTCATTCATTCATTCATTCATTCATTCATTCATTCTATTTATATCCCGCCTATCTGGTTGTTCCAACCACTCTAGGCAGCTTACAGACACATAATACAATAGAAAATAATAATAAAAGAGAGTTATTACATTAAATAGCCAATACTACAAGATGGGGTAGAAAAAATGAAAGATAAACCACAAAAGAAAAAGAAGGAAAGAATCAGATATTAAAAAGGAAATAGAATTAAAAAGGAAAAGGACAAATCAGATGATAATTGACGTATTGTGAGGTTATTCTGAACTATGGATATATTAATTGGTACCGGGGCTCAAAGGGGTAATGAGCAGTGTTACTCCACTTGTGCGATGACAGTAATCACGTCAGCTCCTATGAGATGTGAGATCCAACAGTGAGGCTGGTGGATCAATCCCATGATCACAGTTAGCATTAAACCAGGAGTTACTAGGCAAACAGTTGATGCCATGAGCACTTTTTCTTCTTTCTCTTCAGAGCTTTGCTCTTCTGTTTGTGAGGTCGCTGAAGAAAGCAGCTACTCCCCCACATGAACCTAACACAACGCAACAACAAACAAGCTCGAGGCATTTTCAGAAATACCAACATGACATCGGTACCTGTGTGTGTCGTAACTTGGTTTGTTCACCGACGCTTGCTGAAGGGGTCGGCCACATTGTCCAGGAAAAAGATGCCGGCCCTATTCTACTTAATCTCAGTGATCAGTGAGGCCATGGGACACATTTTACAGCTGGAGCCCTGATTTTGCAGGCTAAATTAAGCTCCTTTTTTGGGTGGGTGGGTAGGATATTAAAGTATGAATATTTCATGAGTGCTTTGCATGGGTTTCCATCTGAATTATGGGCACTTAACGTCCATCGGCACATTTCTTCTTCCCAGGGATTTGGTGGTTTTAGAATTTCAGGCCACTGATGCTCCGAAAGCCTTTTCGAGTTCTATTAAGTGCTGAAGTCAGAAACATGAGCTGTGGTGAGGTGCTTAAGCTTTCCACCCTCCATGGTGCCAAAGGAAGGAGAAGGTCACAGTTAGACAAGAGTGTCCCCTGACAGGGTAAAATTACAAGGAAGGGCCAAGATAGAACACAATGCAGAGAACTAAAGAGGAATCTGTTGAATAAGCCAGCCTTTCTGATTTGTGCTGTTTTGATTCTGTTTGAAATTGCTTGATAGATGAGGAGAAGAGAATGGCTTAGTCAATACAATTTAAAGGGTTGATTTGTGCTGTTTTGATTCTGTTTGAAAGTGTTTGATAAATGAGAAGAGAATGGCATAGTCAATACAATTTAAAGGGTTACTTTTGACTAAATTGGAGATTTGTTTTTCTCAATACATGGGTTTTCATTAAAACAATACAATCACATATATATTGCATACTTAAAACCTACAATGTCCACTGCGCTTAATGGAGCTTTCTGCCAGATGAACGGAAATATAACCTTGGACTGTAGTCTTAATCCTCAAAAAGGAAAAAAAGAAATAGCAAAGTTGGTGAGAAGCAAGAAGTTGTGGGTGCAGCTCTACACCCAAAACAAGAAATTCAGGCCACAGATCAACTTTTTCCTTCCTCACTCCACATATATGATATTACTATTCATTGACAATGTTTATACCTCACCTTTCTCCTCAAGGGGACCCAAGGAGCTTAAGTTAAAAACAAATATTTAAAAAATGGAAGGGAAGGGGGGAAACAAGCAAAAACAAAACAAAACACCAACAAAAATATGAAGTAACATTGGCAAGCATCTGCA